ATAATAAATGCAGCCATCTGTGCACAGAACAGCGCTGTTTTCTCATTACTAGTTATTAATAGCTTGCGTGCTCGTGAATGCTTTTTTATCATCCTTGATTGAAAAAATTATAATTAAATGTAAATGTTTTACTTTTTGATATTAAAAACATCAAATTAGATGTCAAGGACAAGAAAATGAAACATATAATTTTGGTTGAAGGAAGGAAGGAAGGAAGGTAGGTAGGAAGGAAGGAAGGAAGGAAGGAAGAAATCTAAAGGAAATTCTGACAAATAAATGGCAGGCGATGGAAACAAAGGAAAAAGAAAATGCAGCCATGAAATAAGAATTAACAACAATCGTATTTAAAGCTAATGATCGAGAACCAACTGGTTCTTCAAATCATAACATGACATGAACGCTAATAAATCTTAGTATTTTTCCTTTGAAATTTTCACCTTCCACTCAATTTTTATACACTTCAATTTTCTTCTGTACTCCAAACTATTTCATGGCAAAAACTGTTGGTACCTACCGGCTTTAGAAAGTTTTCACGAACCATGGCACTTCGTTCGAAGCTTGAGTCAGTTGCATGAACTGTTTTTACTTCCATAAGGCATACACTATATAGACAGGTGGCATCGGATACAAGAGGACGCTACCAAGGCAATGAATACCCAGAAAAACGTATTTACACTCCAATAGATATAATATTCAGATAATTATTCAACTGAAGTTTTTAGCGGGTTTAAGACGTAGAATGAATTAAAACTGGAATTATTGATATTTGACGAGTGTAAAGCTGTAGTTACGACAGTATTCTGTTGTTTTCTTCCACCGCYATTTTTAGAAATACTCGAGTATTGAGTAACACAGACGTCAAATATTGTGGCGCACTTAACGATACATGATTTCACAGCTACTGCGCGCGACAGAGATCTTTTTCCTATCGGGGGTGCAAGGTATGGAATATTATAAAATAACTGTTATGAATCTCGTGTTTTGATTGGTTGGGAGCGCATGTTTTATGAGAGCACACAGCACGCGCGCGCACTTTTAGTAGCATATCATTCCTATCTAAAATAAAGGTTATTGTAATTTGTATTTTATAAAAGAAATTTAAAAAATTGCTTGCTGTGCTGTGTGGAGTTATAAAGCACTTGGGGATTGACAGAACACTCGAGAAGTGTCTCCTAACACTTCTATCGTGTTCTACCAACCCCCGCGTGCTTTATAACTGCACACAGCAYGCGCGCGCGTTTTCTATTTCTTCCGTTTAGGTAATGCCAAGAGAGTGTAAATAAGAGAGAGAAGCTTCTTAATACAGTGCGCACCATGCAAATTCCCGGTCAACTAGCGCGCGCGCTCATCGTGCATGTGCAAATTGATGACGGACGGGAGTAGGGTAAGGCGAAATTTAAACTGTATCCGGTTACTAAAAATAGCCCAACCGGGAATTTACATGGCGCGCGCGATGTTAAAAAGTTTCTCTCTCTTATTCATGTTCTCTTGGTAATACTCTTAAATGTATAGGCCTAGGAATGCTCGAGAAATCACGTCGTTTTGTCAAAGGCGTGTGAAATTCATCCCTAGTACCACTCGTCACCATTTGCTTACCTATACTAATATGATTTATTTTATTTTATTTTACTTATAGCCAACTCTTAGGTTATCAATAGCTAGTGGGTTAAAGAAAACAGACTACAAAATGTATCGCTGAATAATAAGAGATCAAATAAGAGAGGCTAGGAATCTACTACAGGTTTTCCCCAATTACAATAGATCCTATCAACTAAACGGCATGAATAAATGATTTAAAMTAAACTGAACTACATCGGTCCTTAGAACTTAATACTTAGATATCAATCAAGTGAGACCATACATTACAGATAATCAGATGACCGTAGTGTATGGCCTTACTGAATTGATATCTACACATTTCACGATTCAATGCTACTGAAGGATAACTTGATTCTTCTTTAACTAATATTATACATTTCAACCTTGGTGCACGACCTACAAACTTCGCCAACCGTGTTCTTTTTATAAAAGCTCATTGTATAAAGTTGTAAGTAATACATTTTTTCTGTTCTATTTACGAAAGACGAAAATATATTATTCCTTGTCAGTTGTTTGTTTCTTGTTTATCTTGTACTAAGATGTTTTTCGAAATGTTATGCCTCGTCCCACATCGTAATATCCTATCCTATTAGTGGGACCGGGCGGAAATGAAGGCCATTGTAAACGCTGACGTCATTCACTTCTGTCTTTGGTATGCGCAGATGTTTTTTGTGTCATTTCCGAACGTATCGCGAGTGTGGACGCGAAGCTTTCGATACATTTACGGTGAGACGAAAACGAAGCGTTTCGAAAACGCATTAGTTTGGACGTACGTATTCTTAGTTGCAAGGCTTAGATATTCCGAAGTGAAGCTGATGAATTTTGGGCAAAAACCACGTGTTCAGTTCAAAGGTTGCGAAAAACTGTAAATGCTCGCAATTTTCTAATGTCATTTGAAGCCATATTCTTGTTTGTGCTGCGTTGCTTAAGATGAACAAGATTGTACTTGAAGTTGAGCAACATTCCCTTGTCGTGCATCACTTTTATCGCCGGTCGAGATGAAACTGTTATCAAAATCGTTGCTACAGCAACCACATACCAATTTCTTGAGGTAATGACGAAACTGGTTGTTATGGAAACTGTAAATGATCGGATTAATGGCGGAGTTGACGCAGCATAAGGCTACAGTGGCGGGATAGGCCACTTCGAAMTTMACTGATCCAGGTGAATAAGCAAGTAGCACAAAGACAGTGAGTTCGGGAAACCAGCAGAGAGCATACACAAGACTTACGATTAGAACCATTTTTGTTGCTCTTTTTTTCTTCTTTCTTTGTTGTTCTTCGTCGAGTCGAATAATGGTATTTTTAAACCATAGAAGATATACAACCCTAGAGTACAATATTCCCATTGTTACCATGGGGATAAGTCCCACTATTAAGAAYGATAGCATACTGTAGACCTTAAACTGCACCTCAGTCCATAAGATCACACAACCATTTTTCTCRTTATAACGTTTCCACACAAACCCAACCGAGTTCCASGCTAGGGAGAACARCCAGCAACCAGCGACTAAAAGTTTCAAGTTCTTAGTGATGAAGCTGGTACCATAGCTGTGTGGGTAAGCAACTGCAAAATATCTCTCGACAGAAACAGCGAGCAGAAAYGYAGAAGAAACGTACCCTCCAATCCATGCGAGTGTCTCWCCCGTTATCAACGAGCAAAAAATATCGCCAATAATACCAACTGGGTGGGTATATGTTCCTTTGAAGATGAACGTTGGRCTGAAAAACACCAACAGCATCATGTCCGACACCGCGAGGTTGACGAGGAGATAGTTCATTGATGTACGCATTGGTTTGTTGAGAAGAACGACAAGACAGACCAAAACGTTGCCAGTTACTCCTACAACAGTTACGAAGGAGAAAGCCGCTCTAAGCGCGATATCCTCGCTCGAAATCATATCTTCTTTTCTTCKTTTCTTCCCTTCTTGTTTCTTTTGGCCACAACAGCACAAAAAAGCAGGTTCAGTTTCGACGCCCCCAACTGATAAAACCTTGCTTGTGAAACTGAAATCTTGACCAGACCCTTAGAAAATGAAATCTTTCTTTTACCTAAATTTGGACTACAGTTTCCTCCCATCCGATATGAAAGAATGCAAGTTTACTTTCCGATTGAAGTATTGACTTAAATAATTTCCAAACGATAATTTTTTGACGCATTTTTYATCACTTTGCTAATAAACTATTCGTATTTCTGTCAATTCAATTATTTCTGTCAATTCAATATTTCGATTTTCGTACAAACAAGTCGGGAGTTTAGCTTTAGTGCCTGCCTCATAGACGAGGTCATATCTATTGTCATCTGTCCGCTAAGCAGGCGTGTAATAAGGAAAGTACATGGACGGAAAATTGGTGGTGGTTTTTGGACACACTGTGCTAATATTGATACTCCTGCGCTATAAATATTGACAAGTGTGCGCGCTTTTTTGTCACCTTACTTCTCATTTTTGAGCAGACAATGCGCGAATAGAAAAAGTCTAGAATTGGCTGTAAAAGAGATCGAAATCAGGTATTGTTTTGTCAGCAAATTGTTTGATAGAAATTTTGCCATCAACACTCTTAGCAAGCTCCGGAGAGCCATCAATTCCAAGGAGAAGGTTAATCAGTATAAAGTACTTTTGATTTTTTTAGCGARAATAAACAGAATTGTAAACTCAATTTTAGAAACGAAATGCAATGTTCAGAGCAGGGAATCTAGAAAGTATWTTTTTAGAAAGTGAAATTAAAGATGCAAAAAAAAAAAAAGGTTCGTGTTTCAAATTAGAGCATCAAAAATTCGGAATTTAATTAACGCTTCCTTCAAATAATGCTGTATTTAAAACATTATCCCACAGACAATAAAATTTCATTTTATTTCATTTATAGTTGAAAAATATTCCAGTTTTATCCTTTTGAAATTAAAAACTCGTATTGTTTGTTTTATTTTTTAAATAACCTTGGAGCTTTGTACACGATAAGTTCAAAATATGTCAAAATGTTTACAATAAGAACCAGGTGATTCAAAGTTGTTTTGCACTTTCTACTTTTCTGGCGTTCAAACCGTTTACTTTAAASCTGTTTCAATACCTCTCAGAACTATTTTCAAGGGATTATGAAGCCTTAAAATGTACATAAACTTTAAAATATTTGGTTAGGATTCAATATTTTTTGAGCTCAAAGTCTAACATTTTTAAAAATTAACCTAAAAACCAGCACCTGGGTTCAAACCATTTACTCCTAAAAAGTATTGGGCTTCCTCCAAATCCAACAACGCTTTGTWCCAATTTTAAAAACTTATTAATTACAACCTTTTTCAACCTGTAATTTATTTCTCCGTCGCACGAATTAAAACTTCAAGTCATAAGTTATACRAATTTTGAAATAAACTTTTTTACGTTCAACTTACTGTTTATTTATTTCGCAATTGGAGTCTCGTAGTTGCGTCATATTCGAGCAATGTTTATTCTGTGTAAAGTCAACCTTTTAATATATTTTTTTCCCTCTACTGTAGCATTCTTAACTCATTGCCCGTTTAAGAAAAGACGTCTTACCGCCAGGAATGAAGTTACGGGAAGTTGAAAAAATTGGGAAAAGGAGTATTAGCAAGAATTAACTCGAAGTGGAAGCGAAAAGTGAAATTACACAAGACTGACGGACAAGTTTGATTTGTGGCTAAAAACATCAAATCCTAATAGCTGAACCTGGTCAATGAATGAGCATGTTTTACGCTTATAATGGAACAATTTCTATAAATTTCTGTGCACGAAGCAAARCCTTTGCTTCTCGCACATGCAGATATTTATACTTTAWTAATGAAAGACCAACTTCCTATATGTTTTCAAGCTATTTATTTTATTTTAATTCATTTATATATTTCATTACTACACTCACGAAGTTATGTTATAATGAGCGATCCTTCCATATCTAATAATATACATGAAAAATATACTTGATTCTGATTGGCTGAGCAGTGCAGTACTGTTAACCAATTACACAGCAGAAAAAAATGATTTGCACTACAGTGCAAATTGTTAAAAACTGTTGGTACATTTTTCTCTCAACTACAATGATRTATCATATAGTGTTACTACTACTTTTGAAATATAGTTTTGAAGGTCGTTAGCTGAGTTTAAGGCATATTTTGTTACCAAGTCGATCGATTAAAGTGTTTCTTCGGTCGCCCGGTCGCAGCGATGGTCGTACGTAGTATTCGAACCTATCCGATCGATGCTCGGAGTCTCGAACTGACACACATGGGAATTTACAGTTACTTCGACGAAATTTGAGAAGGTTTGGAGAGACTCCTACATCGTAAACTGTTTTAACGTTTTTATCAGAGGTATAAAATTATAGATTCTGAGATTATAAGTCAGTCATTATTTACATCTTTCAAAGCTGCGATGAAGTTTTTTAGTGTTCAGAATAAATGATCATYGACTTATTCAGTTCTCGATACAAATGGAATTTCTCTTACAATCTGCAAACCAGTCGAACTCATTGCAGTCATCGAACTCTCAGTCCCATTTTTACAACAACAACAGACTAACTTTTTAAGATGACGACGAAAAATATTACTATGAAAGCTATAGATGATGGGGTTAATAGCAGCATTGAAGGAACATATTGCTACTGCAGCTGGGTATGCAATATCGCCACGGAAAGACTGCGGGGCGTAGGCCGAGAGAACGAAAATCGTCAGCTCGGGAAACCATGAAAGTGCATAAATAAGAGTGACAGTCAGGACCATTTTAGTGGCTTTCTTGCGCTTCCGTTGTTGTCTTTCTTCGTCGAGATTCATCACTAGATCTTTAAACCAAAGAATGTAGGTAATCCGAGAATACAGCAMAGCCATTGTAGTCATAGGAACTACCCCGAGTACAGTGAAGCAAAGAACACTGTATATCTTAAAGGATAACAGCGTCCATGTCATGGTGCAGAACCCGGTTCGGGGATCGTAACGTTTCCACTCAAATCCAATCGCATTCCAAGCCAAAGTGAACAACCAACACGAAACAACAAGACGTTTTAGATTGCTGGATATAAAACTCGTGCCATATTTGTGAGGATTGGCTACAGCGATATATCGTTCTATAGAAATGGCGAGAAGGAAAACTGAAGACGCGTATCCTCCTATCCAAGCGAGCGTCTCTCCTGTTATGAGCGCGCATAAAATATCTCCTGTCGTCCCGCTAGGATGGTTAAACAATCCACGAAAGATAAAAGCAGGGCTGAAGAATATCAACAGCATCATGTCGGACACCGCGAGGTTGACGAGGAGATAATTCATGGGTGTTCGCATTGGTCGGTTAAGAAGAACGACAAGACAGACCAAGATGTTGCCAGTAACTCCCGTCAACGTTGAGAGAGAAAACGCTGTCTTGATGGCAATCTCTTCTCCTGAAATCATATTCACTTTCTACTCTCTTCTTGCGAACTTCCTAAAAAAGATTTACGTAGAACAGCTTTGTTAATCGAAGTAAGATTTATTCGGTGGTTACCGAAATGAATTAGCTAGAACCAACCCGCCAACTCTAGCTTATAGTCTTTGCTTTCCAGGATTAACACTTAGGTAAACCTTTTTCTCTTCAAATAAGGATTAAAAACACTTTTACACTGGATGAAGTGATGTTAGGTGCCATATTTACTTAATTTAATTTATTCCTTAAGTCAAAATGACAAAAAAATGTCTTTATTTGGCTTGAAATGTTATTACGTATAAATTTTATTAAATCAACAAAGAAAGCCGTTTGTTGGCCAAGTTATGAAATCAAGACGAGGAGAGACAACAAATAGAAAAGAAATGGTGCATGGTCGATTAAATGCGTCTGAGATATAAGTGAATTTAGCGATATTCTATTATTGGATTAACATGATTGATTTTTTATTGTCAATTTGCTCGTTAATTTTTTTAAGTGAGGCTTATCTTAGTAAACATTAACTGGTGGTAGAGAAATTATACAAATGGTTATCAATATTAAAGCTTACCTTATTGGTTGTTGTGGGAGGGTTAAATCCTGACTTGGTTGACGAGTCTGTTAGCTTATCTTCTGTGGACACGATCTGTCTTAGCTTGTCTGGTGTTGTCGCTTCAATGTTCGTGTAAAGTTTAAGCTGGGTTTAAGATTATGGAACTTTTCATTCTATTTATATACACTGGCGAAGACATAAATAGACCAAAAAATAGGAGGAAAAAATAGAATGCAAAGCGCATTCCAATTGGCTAAAAAAGATCGAGATTGCMATCTGAATGGTTAAAGAGTTAGAACAATCTGATTGGCTAGAGAGTATTTGCAGTTGCAATTTGATTGGGTAAAAATGTACTATTTAATATAACATTTGATATATAACCACTAGCAATCTGATTGGCCAACTAGTGCGCCATCGCAATCTGATTGKCTTAAAATATAAGCACATGCAATGTGATTGGTCAATAGCTTAACCAGTTTCAATTTTGTCAAACTTAAAACATTTGGTTGAAATCTGATCGAGATCTTTATGGACAAGTTTGCCGCAACGTTTGAAATRTGTTTTTATTTCACTTCGCCAAAGAGAAAACAAAATCTTTACTTTCCAAAAATACTTTTTAGTCAGTACTGGTGTATTTTGGGATACAGATTTTCTCGTATTT